ATGAGAAAAGAACAATATGCAGTGAAATGTTTTGTTATATCTCGAAGGGATTGAGAAGCGTTTTTGATCAAAGCTCGTAGAATAAGACCACCAGAGACGTTGGTCGAAACACTCCCAATTCATCAGATAGAATGAAAAATGTGGCAAAAAACCGTTTTGGCTTTCTACTTCTTCATCTCCGTTCAGAAAATTTGGGAAACTTGATGGAAGAAAATCACAATTAATAGCAAAATAAACTCTTCACAAAGATATTTAGATCATGCGAAGAAATAATCCTCCCACTTTCAAATAAATATTTAAATCACCCGAAAGAAAAAATACTCACGAAACAACTACTCAAACAACTACTTTCATCTGAACATTGAATCAATTATACGAAAACAATTTTTCCTATCAGTTTGTACTCCAACCATTCGTTACGGAATTGAAACAGATATCATTCACAGGATTGCTACACAATATTGTATACGACATCATGACTTTATATCACGAATGAGTTGAATCTATATAAAAGTGGTTGTTTCGCCTGGACTTTTTTCTTTCAGTTTGTGTCTTAAAGTAACTTATTTACATGATCTACACATCTTCGTGAAGTTCTCATTCTGAAATAATTTGCTTATTTCCTTTCTTTGGAAGTTTCCTACATTTTATTGTATAGAGATGGGAAAATAGTAAAACGATATTCAATTGAAATTTACCTGAAGCTATCTCACAAGCATGGACCATCAAATGGAAAGTGTAACCTTTCTCAATGAATAAAATATTCGAAAATAAATTTGAAAATGTATTGAATTGAATAAATGTGAAAATAATACCTTAAGTTGTGAATATCCCTGTTCATACGTATGGGAAGAAGTATTCCGCATAGTACCTCAACTACATAGCATATAACAAAGTCGCTTTCCGCTGTCTGTCCCTAGATCTTCAAAACTACGCAACGGATGTAGATAGAGTTATTCAAGAGGAAGGTTTATATGTATGTAATATGCATAATATAGTAGAGAATGTAAGAGTGCAAGATCAAATCCTACCAATAGTAGGTAGGAAAAAATTCATCAATTTCCAAAATATAGTCAAAGCATTAAGAAAACCACATGACTTTAAATAATACTGGCCAATTACCAGCCAACAAACTTCAATAAATTGAAACTTTTCATGAAAGAGATGGATCGATAAATTTCTTCATCCACATTTTTTTCAATTTATAATTGAAAAATATTCATAGACGGGTAACCAAGAATGATTAACAATTTTTCCATAGTATTCTAACTCTAATTCATTCATCAGTGCACCAGAGTTGAAGTTTATATTGTTCTGCAACCAACCTTACTTTACGATAAATTGCATATACTGAGTGTCATTTTCAGACTGTAATAGTAGAAACAAAACCTTTCTTTCCCAATAATTGATCTCTTACAAAATTATACCCCTTTCATTTTAGTATAAAGTACAAATTTGAACTTTTTGTTATACCAAAAATCTAACTGTTTATTCAAAATCGATTTCTGCAACATCAGAGGACTCAACTCAAATATAAACTCAGTGCACCATCATCTGCAAACAAATATACCTCATATTTTTGCACTCACAGAAACCAAAGTCAGTGCTTCAACAAATCCTGTCAATTTTCTATAACCCGGTTATGACTTCCACTCTGGATTCAGATGTAACTTTGGAATATCTCATTTTATCAGAAACGATCTCTCCTGTCAACGAGAGAAAATGCTATAACCCCAAAACTTTGATGTTATGTGGTTCAAAATAATATCACAGAAGATCACTAAATTCATATACTGCGTTTAAGGATCACCAAGCGATAGACAATATGGAGCTCTATTCTCTCCACTTGCAAACACCACTGACTTTCTTCAAATAAATCATCCCAGTACGGAAATTTCCATATTCGGGACTTCAATGTGACAATATCGAATGGCTCAAATTTTCAAATATCAACAACGAACAAGGTTGCGAAACTGAGACTTTTGCAATAACCTGCGGACTTGCTCAGATTACGAATGAGTCAACAAGGATTTCTAACCATGAGGGAGAATATGCTGGTCTTCTGGATCTATATCTGATAACTGATCTAGAAATTTACACAATCACCGTAAGGTTTACATTGGGATCTTCTGACCACAAACTCATTTCAGTGTGGAGTGAATTATCGATAAATGTTGGGGAACAATCTAAGCCGCGCAAAGTTTGGCATTGTCAATCTGTTGAGTGGAGAATCATCAAAACCATTTCCGAAATTTCCCCTGGCTAGATATTTGTTTCAGCTCTAAAGATCCATCTATTTGTGCTTCTGTTTTAACGGAAGTCATTCTTTCATCCATGGTTACATATATTGCTTTTTCAGTGAAACTTACTTCTAACGGCAAACCTTGGTTCAACAAAAATTGCGAGCAAGCTGTCGCCTCCAAAAATCTCGCCTACCGGCAGTGGCGCAAAAATCCGAGTGCCGAAAACCGAACTAGGTTTGTTAATGCTGACAACGGCTGCAAACTCAGGATAAATTAAAGCGAAGAACTTCACAATCGGAGAATTAGGGATAAACTGTTTGCCAATCCCTCCTGGTCGGTAGCTAAACCTGTTAATCAAAACTTTAAGAAATTCAGAATTTCCCAAGTAACACAAACGGATGGTTCAGTTGCAACAACAGCCATATGAAAATCAAATTTACTGACTGAACAATTTGCGTCCCACACCAGAGTTGTTATTCTGGGAAAGGCACCATCCACTATTCCCACACCAGAATCCACAATGCTGGAAATTACTTTTCGGCAACGTCTAGTCGAGCGAATTTTGAAACAGCTCAATATCAACAAGGTGTCTGGTCCTTATGAAGTGCCCATCATCGTACTTGAAAAGTGCGCAAATGAACTCGCATCATTATTTTGCAGACTTTTCAACCTGTCTTATAAGAAAGGGGTTTCTCCTTCTTGTTGGAAGATTGCTCGCGTCCAACCAATTCCCAAAAAGGGCAAGAAAAATCTTGCAAATTACTATAGACCAGTCGCTTTGCTATCAGTGATATCAAAAATCATGGAGAAAGCCATAAACCAGCATATCCTCAATTATCCTCAAAGGCTTCAACATTTCGAGCGATCATCAGTATGGCTTTCGGAAACAAAGATCAACATGCGACGATCTATCGCATATTCGGAAAAACGCAATCGAGGAACATGGGGAGTCAGAAGCTGTTGCGCTTGATTTTCCAAAGGCCTTTGACCGTGTGTGGCATGAGGGTTTGCTGTGGCCAAACTTCGATGCTATGGCTTGTGGGATCATTTTTGTCTTTGGCTCTTCAGCTTGCTAAATGAACGTTCCCTGCAAGTGGTAGTGGATGTATATCTCTCGAATACTTTTATCATCAACTCTGGTGTTACTCAGGGATTCATATTTATTGCTTTGTTGAGAACAGCACACTTGTCTCGTCATTACATTTGGATTCCAGAGCATCGGTTACGGAGGCACATCTTCACCAGCAGCAGGAGGTTGCATATACCAATGAGGATCTAGAAGTGATTTCGAATTGAAGTGGAAGTAACCAGGTTCAATTCAATGCCACAAAACCCAGGCGTCAGTTTTCTCCAAAAAGGTAAATGTCTTCAAACTGGATATGATAAAGGCAGGTCGCACAATTCTAGGTTCTGCTTCTATATGTTGGTTGGCGGTTGTAATGGACACCAATATGACTTGGCATAATCCTGTCGCTGGAACTGCAAAAGCCGTTTCTCAAAAGCTTGGAACACTACTCCGAATCAGAAAACTGTATACACTTCAGCAACTTTTGATGCTCCGTAATGCTCAAATCAGATCTTTTCTCATGTATGGAGCTCCGCCCCCAAGCATACCCTGAAGCTGCTAGATTCCATCTAGGAAAGAGCCATCCGCCTGATTGGAGATACTTACACGGGAGGTGTTCAAGTGACTTGGCACGTTTGATACCACCAACAGTAGTACATATCAGAAATACGCGATGTACTGTTACTGTTCATCGTTTTGGAGTTCAACTCAGTACACCTTGCACTTCACTGTTCAAGTCCTCTTTCATTTGGTTAACTGCGTTCGAGTGGAATGAAATTACTGAGGAAGTTTTTCCAAAAGGATTCAATCTCCAGCGATTCATATCCAATGTAAATCGCTACTGTCTCACAGGCACCGCTTTTAGAGCGCCTCAAATATTTTTCTGTAGTGCTTGTGTTTTGTCTTATCATCTAGGAAAGAGCCATCCGCCTGATTGGAGATACTTACACGGGAGGTGTTCAAGTGACTTGGCACGTTTGATACCACCAACAGTAGTACATATTGGAAATACGCGACGGACTGTTACTGTTCATCGTTTTGAGGTTCAATTCAGTACACCTTGCACTTCACTGTTCAAGTCCTCTTTCATTTGGATAACTGCGTTCGAGTGGAATGACATTTCTGAGGAAGTTTTTCCAAAAGGATTCAATCTTCAGCGATTCATATCCAATGTAAATCGCTACTGTCTCACAGGCACCGCTTTTAGAGCGCCTCAAATATTTTTCTGTAGTGCTTGTGTTTTGTCTTAAAAAAATTGACCCTTATATTTTTTAAAAATCTAGAAGGACAGTAAGTGAAATTTAAACTCATGAATCCATGTTATTACAATGGATACACTTATTATAGAATATATGCCGTTGTCCATAATATTCAAGAAAAGATGACATGGAATCGTCATCATTTGGCCCACGAGCCAAATTGAACAAAATGGACTTTATATCGTTTCTTGACTGTCCAAAAATCAATTTATGCTTTCGATATTGAACCAGCTTTGATCTCATTTGCTGTAACGTTATCAACATCAATATTATCATCAAAATGTATCAAAAATATCTTTTTCTTCAAAAATTATACTTCTTTTCTCAATCGGTTTTCAGACAAAATGATCAATTTTTGAGTTGGCTCTCATTTACAATCGAATAGTAGTTATACTTTTCGTAACATGCAAACACTCAAGATGAAAGTATGCATAACCTTCAATAAAACGTTTATTAAAAATTCGCTATCCACTTAAACAAAATGAGCATATTAATGGTGATAACCCCCAGAACTCCCGTAACCATGTCCTCCATGTCCACTCTTGGCGCTAGCAGCGGCTACAGCAAGTCCAGCAGCAGCAGCATTAGACTGTGCGATTTGCGCAGCTTCAGCTGCTCTCAAAGCTGAAGCTTCGGTCTCTTGGAGGTCTGAGAGGGCACTCTGGAGCTGACTCAAGATTTGTCCAATACGTTGTTTGGCTTCTTCAACCATAGATTGCTGTGCTGCAGCTGCGTTTCCAGCTTCAGCTGCTGCTTGCTCGGCATGTGAAGCTCCACTCTGGGCAGCAGCTAAAGCTGCAGTGAGGGTGTTGACCTGGTTTTGAGCATCCTGGGCAGCTTGCTGGGTGGCTGAGGCGACTGCTCCCAGTTGTTGGTATTGGGCAATTTCGGCTTGCACCTGTTGTTGGGCTTCGACGGCTTGTCTCTTGAGGTTTTGAACGATGGCTTGTTTTCCTACCAGGGCAGCCTGAGCCGTCTGGGCGGCCTAATGAAAAATGAAAATGGTAACTTTTTGAAATGAAATAAAAAGGAGAAATGTACATTGTGCCATGATTTGGTAAAAAAATTACTTCATGGAAAATAATTACTGACCTATCGTGAATACGGGGAAATTTCAATACGATAATTTTCGTCCATTAAAGATTCTGATCAAACTCATTGTTGTATCAATATTGAATTAGATGCATGAGCAATTGCTGGTGTGTTGACTTTCGTCGAATTCATTATCAATCAACATCAAATTCAAAATACATTCATTTGTCACATTTGGAAAAAGTGTAGTTTGCCAAAGTTGTTCCTCAATTCCATTTCAGAGAAAGAAAATAAAGAAAACAAGGAGTACACAATGACAATGAAAAAAATACTCAAGAGAAGAAATGAATATTCATTTTGTCGAAATGGAGTGAAAACTCATAAACTCCAGGAGACCTTTTTGTTTTCCAACCATGGAGGTGCGACTGAAAAAGAAGATAATCCACAGAATGTTATAGAATGTGGAGACCGAATAAGATAATTTTATATATTGGTATGAACGATACAAATTTTTCTAGACAATCATAAGCAACGAAAACGTTTATGACGTGTGAATACGAGTACTTTATGATTGAGTTGCTCTGGCTCATTTCCAAGTGTCAATACTTGTATGCACTTTCAGATACATTCAAACTTGACATGCGTGAAAATCTGAAGTGATCGCCTTTGTTTTTCTGGGTTGTATTATCTGCAAGGTTGTGTTGTTGTTATAATGCTTGTTTTTGAGTGACTTCCGATTTTGAGTATTCTGGGTTATCTATGTCAATTATGAAAATAAGCGTTATATGATGATCAAACAGAATGCGGTTGGATGTGACGTAAAATTTAAAAAATGGATTGCACTTTTACAGTATGGATTTTTTGTTTGAGATATATTAGTGAAGATGTGATTGTGATGGTGAACTGAAAAGATCATTTGACAAAATTGAAGTGAAGCCCGATCAGGTTGCAAGTAAAATCTATCGAGTGGGAATCTCCGATCTGGAACTGAGTAGATGAGTAAATTGAGTAAATGAGATTCCATGATCTTCAGACTCTTGTTCCACGTAACATTTGAATATTTATTGGTATTCTGTAGTTGTTTGTGATCAAAAATTAATAAGTGGCAATGACGTTTTCTAAGTTATGAAATAGCATATGCTAGTGAAGAACAGTACCGAGAAAGATATGTGATTACGCTATCTGACTACGCTATTTGAAAAGCCTGCAGTATTGGTCAAGGAATAAAGTTTTCTACTAATATTACCGGAGTTCTTATATTACTGGAGTTCTAATATTACACCGTTATTTTTAACACCTCGACACTTGTTTCAATCACCAAGTGATCATCCTCAAGAGGACGTTCATTCGTCTAGTAATGTTCAACGTTCAACAGTAATATTTAAAACAACGTTTTGTAGTACTCTTACTACGACTGAGTTACTCACTCCAAAGGCGGTGTTGGCCAGATTGCTCTTAACTCCAAATGCGGCTTGGCTTCCTGCAGTGTGTTGACTCTGGACGGCGTTTTTGGCTTGAAGGGCGGAGCTGTGAGCTAGACTGGAGAGTTCTGCGCCATTATTGCCTTTACCGGAATCGGCAATGATGTGTCCGTCAAAATCTCCGCCGTATCCGCCAGATTCGTATCCATGGTCAACTGAGATAGTTTGAGCACCGTGTTCGGGAACTACGACATTCACATGTTTCGAGATGCCGGCTGACGCGATGGCGACTGTAAAAATTTAAATTGTTTGAAAATTTTCTCAGTTTTGAAAAGTATTTGATGATTTTACATATAAATATTTTGATTATTTTGAATAAATGTTATTTGATGAAGTTTCATCAGTAGTTTTTTATAATACCCATTGGAAATCAACAAACAAATCTTCTGCTGATACTTGAGCATATTTACTCTCTTCAGATATACAGTGAGTTTCAAAAAGTTTGCACCAATGGAAACTTTTTTATTATCCATTTGTCAGAAAGTTCCATTCTTGATAAAAATTGGCGCATTGCGGGAAACTTGGATTTGAGTTGTCAAAATCTAAAATTTTTGAACGGTGAACAGGAGAGAACCAAAAACTAACCTTATTTTCGACATTACTGAAAACGTTTATTCAGACAATTTGTTTGAATTTGAACACTGTATTCATTTTTGAAATCATAGCCACCTACGTGATAAAATAAAAAAAACATTTTTCTATGGTTCTAGCCTCATAAAGAGTATTCTAGTACTACTAACAAATTTGTATCACTCAATTCTTTGGTATTAAATATATTAAATAATTCAGTCAATTATTTCTTGTCATTGAATCATGCTGATAGTTATTATAGGCATACATACAGAGTAAAATATCAATTTTACACCGAAAAACTAGTAAAAATTCAAACCATTTTCAACAAACATCGATATACTAGTTCAAATGATAAGTTGGACCGAATTCTGCATCGAAATATTGTTATAGTAATATGAGGGAGGCGTCTAAGGTGAATATGAGATACTAGTACCCTTTATGAGGCTAGAACCATAAAGAAATGTTTTTTTTTTTGTTTTGTCACGTAGGTAGCTGTGATTCCAAATCTGAATATTGTTTTCAAATTCAAACAAATTTTTTGATATATGATGGAATCGGCCGATACTTGATGAAAATCCATAACTAACGTATTCCAAAAACACTTTATTGTGAGATTTTCACTAAATTGTTTTACAAAAACGCAACACGTGTTTCGCCATACAATGGCTTCATCTGGCGTGTCTTTTCAGAATTTTGACTACTCAGATCCAAGTTTCTTGCAATGCACCAATATTTATCAGGAATGAAATTTTCTGACGAATGGTTGAAAAAAAAGTTTCCCATATGGTGCAAACTTTTTGAAATTCACTGTGTACGTGTTTCAGTTTCCTCTGTATATAGCGTCACGTAATAAATTTACATCCCCAATAGCACCAAAATAATTTTATAAATGTACATCTGTGGAATAGATTTCAACTAACACGATATCAAAATATAATTGTATTGTAACGTATTTCGTTGTTTTAGATCATTTTCATTACAGAAAACAGGTTTCAGTTGAATTCAGCTTCGTTCCGATTATAATCTTAGCCTGCACTTCTCAGAAAAAAATATAAAACAATTGTGTGAGTTACACGAAAACAGTAGCACATTCATCATCAATTTCTTAGGTATATCTACTTCTTCTCGATTGTCTTCTCAATAGAGATCAGATATATAATATTTTCTGGAAAATAATACAGATAATTCGTTATTCAAGTGTTTAGATATGATTGAGACACACTATCGATGCAAACTGAATTGAATTAATTGGAAACCAAACGTACCGTTGGAAAGTTAGTGCAAGTACATTTTTACACTGGCATAAATGAAGACTTGCCTCATCTTATTCAATGTTTGCTAGTTTAACGATTGTAAACCTCACAGCCTGTGCACATTCACATTCAAACTAGAGATGAACATCGTTTTACTTTCCATTTATTATATTCAGCAATGATTTCTCCTGAATGAAATTACCTCATTCTTTTCAAGCGATCCAAATAATGAACAATTTCCAAATACAATTGCATAGAAGAGGCATGTGTTTTTTTTGGAAAATCTTTGTAGTGATGTCAATTCGTAAACAATTTCTTGTTTCAAGGCGCAATTTTCACAATTGATTCAAAATATTGAAGTTAAAAAATGATCTATATGGTTATATTATGAAAGGAAAATAACTAGAAGAAATAAAAAATCTTGTTAAAGTCTATAGGAATCCATTAATCTTCTCAGAGTTGATACACACATATATATGATAGGCATATAGAGGAAAGAGATAAATGGTTGAAATTGAACTCTTATTCAATTTAGAAAATATTGATATTGAGAAGAGATCTGATCTCTTCTCATTTGCGTCACAAATAAAATTATAGCCAAAATATGTGCCATGTTGTCCTGGTTTGCTTACTCGAATACTGATTGTTAATTGAATACACTGAATTTTCTCGTTTCAGGTCAAATATAAGTTTCAAGATTCATCTGATGCACAAGTATGTTTCAAAAAATTCGTAAGTTGCTGCGATAGAGGCAGAATTTTGCCAATTGGAATGATATAGAAATATATTGAATTTTCAATTATGAATATTGTTGAAGAAAAATTTCACTAAAAATCTTTTTGAAACAGGATGAGTACTGGGACATCATATTTACTAGTAGGTTAGGTTAGGTCCAAAGTGAATGGGTCTATTCGACTCTCCACCGCAACCCTCAAGGGTTTATTGTGGCTCAGACCTATTCACACTCGACCAAATAAACTCAGCTTCTTAACAAAGCCGTTTAGTTTCTATGGTGAGTGGTCTTTCAGGTCAGGTGTCAGACTTCTTTGAATTGAGAAATTTCAATACTGTTAACGTAGGCTATTTCTCATTGTTGATATTTGTGAAGAATACAATCAAGAATTTCGTCAAAAGTAAACATTTTTCAAGAAATAGATTTAATTAACCTGATATGATACAGAATATATTTCTATCATTATATTAATCGTCAAACCATGGCAGAAATAAAATATTCCAACTTGAAGAACCCAGACACCTTGTATATTAAGATTGGTAATTTTGATAGATTGTCACAAGTTCATTTTGTATGTAGTTCGCCAATTATTTCATCGAAAATACGTTGCTATAATTTACGGATATCTAAAAAAACAACTATGCGATAGATGATACAGACATTGCCAATCATTTGTATCTATTTGAATTTCATACTGATCGAAAGTATTGGACAGAGCAAATTTATGGATTGTTATATTCGTAAGAGAGAATTGCATCTATTACCTCAACTGATTTCTTCAAAATAATGATAACTCTAAAATATCAACTCACCTCCACAAACTGCGAATACGAAAATCCTGAACATGTTTTCTGAAAATGGAAATCAAAATGTCACTGAGAGAAAAACTGAAATTGATTCTTTGAGGTTGGGGCAATTTTTTTAGGTTTGAATCAAATAGAATTCGAAAATAAATTGAGAGTGTATTCATGAGTTGAATCTTTTCAAATGAAGTGATGCTAGAAAAGCATCACTTCACTTGAAATGAGTTTCTGACGATTATCAAATATCAATTAAGTCTTTTCACCGAATGTGAAGACTTACTGGATTCAACAAACCTATTACAGAAAAGAAACAGAAGCTAAATGTAACGATTAACTGACGGTCCTTGATAATGACAAATAATATTGCAAATGTGAAGAATGAAAACACAAAATTGATAATAACTGAAATAACATTTTCTCAGATTGACAAGATTTTGAACAATATTTGCTAAGATTCATTGAAAAATTCACTTCGGTGAATTTTCTTCAGTTACACGATATCACCATGAAGTATATCGAAATTTGTTTTCTTGAAACTCACTGATTCACAAACAACTGCAGAAGACGTCGAAGTACTGGGAAGCTTAGAAGCCACTGATACTATTTTTTACTCATCCCTCCGGTATATATACAAGATCGAACGGGGTGGGGCCGTTGAATAATGATTGAAAAGGTAACAAATGCATAGATTGTAGTCTCAACAAAAGTTCGTTAAATCGTAAGTTTACAGAGCGTAAAGAGCCCATAACTGTCTAATTTGATAGCACCCAGAGGCGTATCGAACAGAGAACGGCCACTCTCAAGTTGTCCGTGAATATGCGAGCAAATTATTACTTCTGGTGATATTGCGCGAAAATCTAAAATTACAGAAACTAGAGTGTGATTTGTGCCACACTTTGATGAGGAAACTAAGCAAGTTCAATGACGAGAACGCTCTGCTGAATTCTCAATCCCTTTCAAATCAAATGTAGATTTTGTGGAACTGATTTAAACCTTTCTTCGAATTTCGATAATATAGTTTGTGAAGGACATGACATCTCCTCTTCCGTAGACGTCATCACGAATGACGTCAATTCTCGAATATCAGAAATAAACAAGGCTTCCTGAAGTGGAAAAGTCAAGCTTCCACATGGAACGCCGAAAGATATTCGTCCACTGTCTTCCACTGTAGCTTCCACTGAAAAGCAACTGGATGAAACTAGGGCCCAAAGAGAAAGTATTTGTGAAGCAATACACGGCCGAAGCATACATGCATTGCTAGACTCACTGTCATTGAAGGAGAAGCCTGAGTAAGTAGAAGCGATGACATCTCTCCTTATGAAAACGAACAGGACACTTAATCCTCGAAAATAAAAGGTAGAGGTCCTTAACACACTCTCAACTTTGCCAAACAGAATTCGTCTTCTATCTTCCGTTGCAGGGCAACTAGAGGGAATCAGGACCCAAAGATTCAACACCAGGCAAAACAATGATGCATTGTTGGAGTCACTATCCCCAACAAGTCTGAGTAAGAACATTGACAACAACAGCTCGTCATGTTTTGCAAACGATTTATGGACCATTCAAATTGTGCATCCAGCAAGGAACCGGTAAAAACGTACGCTGTACACACAAGATTGTTGTAAATGAGTGTCATTGAAAGCTGATTATGTATTTCACATATTGTGTTTCAATGAAGTAACTATAAAACACGCCTTCTATCACACCAAATTTTTAGGTACTGACTGCTTCTGTTTCAAAGTCATCAAACTCACTTATACTTGATTTTGAACTGGATCTTAAGATTTTTGCAGAGCCGGTACTTTCATCGTTTTCTTAAATTCAGTATGTTTTCATTTGTTTCACAATTCAGTCAAGTTTTGAGTAGATTTTATATAGAAATCCTATGACCTAGTCGTCCTCACTGTGAAGTCTATTCGTACTTAGTTATTCAGGTCGAAATTAAGTATGGAACTGTCACGCTTCAACCAATTTGGTTACAATAATAAATATCGCAACTGTTTGGCGAAGAAATAGTTTGACAGAGAAATCTTGGCTGAATGAAACTTGATTTGAAACCAGTATTTCCAACAAGAAACGCACCTTAGATCCGATAGATGGCTTCTGGTGAGCAAAATTGGGCGAAACACATCCGTCTTGCAATTAATTTGAGATCCAAACGAAACGAGTAGACTAATATTCTCACTAATAACCAGCATACTGCATTTAGGGCACAGATGTACCCAGAACTGTCATTAAAACTGGTCAAATAATAAGTGACTATTTGAAATAGATTGACAACTTACGATAATAATTATAAAACTTCCACACTATGAATTGTATTGAAGATCTGCCTGAATCTATGGTGAGGGACCAGATTAGAAGAAGCGTCTATAAGAAATATGGAGTTCTAGAACAGATCTAGAAAGAAAACTATATCGACACTGAAGGGATTCACTCAAAATATTTAATGGCTCATTACTGGACATTCAAAGGATACTTTGACATGACCACGAATATGCATTTTCGATCCCCCTTTGATTTTCTCTAAAAGAGTTGGAATTAACGATCTAATAACAAAGAAAGACGCTTTTGAGGGCATCAAGAGATTTTGACTGTTTTTTCTAGCTGGTTCTGAAGAATTGAACCTGAAAGCATGACATCTCATATGATGACTTTTTTATTCGTTTTATTCAGGAAAATCTTCTTCGCCATACAACACATACAATATAACTGAATGAATGCTAGATTATGAAAATACGTTTTCTTCTTTTTCATTCACCACCAAGCGTTTATAACAAAAAGTATGTATATTCAACTATATAATACATCAATTTACAAGAATGGTAGTTCATGCCTAGTGATCTCATACATCAACGACTACTAAAAAACAAAACTCATTTCTATAACTTCTTTCTCTTTTAAGCTGTCAGCTGAGATGCAGAATGATTCCACCAAATTCATTTGGTCTGAACTTTTTCCTAGGGTAGCTTTTGCAAGATACATATTGAAATGGAGATAAGATTTTATTTCTGAAAGAAAGTTTCCCGTTTTTTTTTATATAATTTGATGTTCATGTGGAAGTATATGTTTTGTAAGGTTTTTTTTCAGTTTCCATCTGAAAGAAATTCAACCATCCGAACCAACTGAAAGTATCTTTCTGAAGAACTTATTGTACAGTCATATTATTTCTCCTTTTTTTGGAAGTTCACCACATTTTTTGTTCGAAAAAGTATTGAAAACTGTTGAATCGGTTTCAAGGAGATACTAGACAAGTACAAGGATCATTATTCAGTCCTCAACAATTCATATAATAATATCAATCTCATCATTCATTCAACCCGGTCAGTTCGATAATACAACAGTTCATTCATCATGATAAACAGAAATAAATTGCAACCACTAATTGATTACGTATTGAGGATTTTTTCAGTACTAGACAATAACATTTCTATTGCTTTCATGAAAGAGTCAATGAAAGTGGCAGATTCCAAATGATTTGAAATTATATTTCAAGTTTATGTTTCTTTATATGAGAGAGACGACCATCACATGCTGGGTATGGTTATGAGATCCCAGTATCAATTTTGAGATTACTTCATTTTCGATGAGCTAAATGAATAATGCATCTGTTAGAGGCAAATTTTCTGTGCCTGCCCCAGGCCGTCCTCCCACCCCTACTACTTTCCTCAACACGGCGCATGCTTGATCTTATATTTCAGTGTGTTTCAGTGTTCTACGAAGACACCACGAGATATTTCATTCAGTCGAGGACCTATGTTTTTGATTGCGCAGAAACTCACGATAATCCGTTAGTTAGGGAAGCTATAAATTACGCTGTAGATGACCCCTTCCGATATAGGAGGCTCCGACACTCTGTTGAATGAGGCCCTTATGTCTCCCGTTAACAGATGAACATTCATGTCTGAGGACATTCATGATGCCATCCCACCATCAGTCAAGACCCATTTGTCCCTCTGACAAACATAAGCCGAAAGAGTAAGGGAGCCAGGCTCCAACCTGAACAAAATCAAGATGACTTTCCACCACGAGATATTCAGGCGTCGTTTCTTCAGCCGTCAGGATTATTGCTAAAAAAATATGGAGGACTTCGAGGAAAAATCAAACAAAAAATGTTTAGCAGGAGAAATGAGTGAAATCAACTGGTAAGAATCAGATGATAGTATTCAATCATTTATTGAGTATAAATTATATGTCAGTTCAACAAACAATAACGAACGACTTCAAAGGCACAAAAGTTCATGTATAAAACAAATAAAACGCATAAAAACAAGCTTGGAACCATTGTCACTGAGGTAGCGGAATGGTTTTCCTACCTCTGTAGATGACACAATGGAGGACTAGTCGCTTTATAAATATCAAAATGCTAAGGTGTGTACAGTTTTCTGGTACGGAATAGTATTCGAAGCTTATCATGAGTAGCATTTGCTATTTCAGCGACATAATTTTGCTAATTTTAACCCCCAACCAACTTATCGAAGCAGAAAGAGGAATTGACTGATCCAACATTATTATATTCGGTTCGAATTTTATTTTTTTAGAGAAACCCGATGCCAGGGTTTTCGTAGTTTTGACTTGATCCTGGTTACTTTCACCCCAATTCGAAACCACCTCTGGATCCTCATCAAGACATACAACTTCCTGAGCAATAGACAAAAATGATCTGACAAGCCATAAAGAAAAGTTTGGCCAGCAAACCCTCATGCCACACACAGTTAAAGGCCTCAGAAATACCAAGCGCAACAGCTCTTGACTCTCCATGTTTCTCGATTTGGTTATTGAAAATATGGGTGACATACAATAGAAGGTCGCCCGTTGATCATTGTCTCCGAAAGGCATAATGATGATCGCTCAAGATATTGAAGCCTTTCAAATATTCGAAGATATTGTGTTTTACTGCTTTCAAAATGAGTTTGATATCACTGATATTGTTCTTGCCCTTTTTGGCAATACACTGAGCGCGAACAATCTTCCAACAAGAAGGAAAAACCCTTCCTTGTGAGTTTGAAAAGTCTGCAAAATAGTGTTCATAGATGCGCTTTTTAAGTACAATGACGGGAACTTCATCAGAGCCAAATACCCTGTTGATATCAAGCTGTTTCAAAATTCGCCGGACTAGACGTTATCGAAAAGTACTGTAGATTCTTCTGTGGAAACTAATTATTATAAATTATTTGTCCTGTTTCTCTAGGATCCAGTTTATTAGGAATCATGCCCGGTCTTTCTAGGTTTTTGTCTTCAGCTTAGAATTATTTATCTGATAGAATTTTAGGAAATCAGGGGTAAATTATAATTTCTGTTAGAGGTAGCTGTTGCATAAAACACTCGTTGCTGTTTTGTAAACTCTACAGAGAAATAGCGTATGCTGTTAGAAAAAATGGTAGGATATTAGTCCAAACATGGTAAAAATAAATATTGAAAGGTGAAATCAGACCTTCTGGTGTCGAAAGGATCTCTCACACCAGAATCATAACACTTCATGTTGGTGGATTTAAATTTGTGGGAGCAGCTGTTAGCATACAGAGCAGTCCCTAAAAAAGATCAAACCCGACTAAAATAATATTGTTAAATGATGTACTACTTTTTGGCAC